GCACCCCACCAACACCCACACAAACCACTTTTTCTCTACCCTGCATTGTGAGTCTTCGGCGTAGCCCGAATATTCCATTCATTATTCACAATATCCACTTGCACATCCCTCTCCACACACACAAAAACACACTGCACCCCACCAACACCCACACACAAACCACTTCTCTATTCCCTGCATTGTGAGTCTCATGTAGCCTGAATATTCCATTCATTATTCACAATATCCACTTGCACATCCCTCCACACACACACAAACACACTGCACCCCACCAACACCCACACAAACCACTTTCTATCTCTGCATTGTGAGTCTCTGGCGTAGCCCGAATATTCCATTCATTATTCACACATATCCACTTGCACATCCCTCCACACACACAAAACACACTGCACCCCACCAACACCCACACAAACCACTTCTTCTCTTTTGCATTGTGAGTCTGGCGTAGCCTGAATATTCCATTCATTATTCACAATATCCACTTGCACATCCCTCTCCACACACACAAACACACTGCACCCCACCAACACCCACACAAAACCACTTCTCTACCTTTCTGCATTGTGAGTCTCATGTAGCCTGAATATTCCATTCATTATTCACAATATCCACTTGCACATCCCCCTCCACACACACAAACACACTGCACCCCACCAACACCCACACAAACCACTTCTCTATATTTCTGCATTGTGAGTCTCGGCGTAGCCTGAATATTCCATTCATTATTCACAATATCCACTTGCACATCCCTCCACACACACAAACACACTGCACCCCACCAACACCCACACAAAACCACTTCTCTACCTTGCATTGTGAGTCTCGGCGTAGCCCGAATATTCCATTCATTATTCACAATATCCACTTGCACATCCTCTCCACACACACAAACACACTGCACCCCACCAACACCCACACAAACCACTTTCTACTACCTTGCATTGTGAGTCTCGGCGTAGCCCTGAATATTCCATTCATTATTCATTCATTATATCCACTTGCACATCCCTCCACACACACACAAACACACTGCACCCCCACCAACACCCACACAAACCACTTTCTACCCTGCATTGTGAGTCTCGGCGTAGCCTCGAATATTCCATTCATTATTCACAATATCCACTTGCACATCCCTCCACCACACACACAAACACACTGCACCCCACCAACACCCACACAAAACCACTTTCTACCCTGCATTGTGAGTCTCGGCGTAGCCCGAATATTCCATTCATTATTCACAATATCCACTTGCACATCCCCTCCACACACACACAAACACACTGCACCCCACCAACACCCACACAAAACCACTTCTCTACTCCTGCATTGTGAGTCTCGGCGTAGCCTGAATATTCCATTCATTATTCACAATATCCACTTGCACATCCCCTCCACACACACACAAACACACTGCACCCCACCAACACCCACACAAACCACTTCTACCCTCTGCATTGTGAGTCTCGTCGTAGCCCGAATATTCCATTCATTATTCACAATATCCACTTGCACATCCCCCTCCACACACACAAACACACTGCACCCCACCAACACCCACACCAAACCTTGAAGAGAACATTCTCCTGCATGTTCTGGAATTAACTGAGCTCTCATTTTTAAAGTGATATAAAACTGATTAATACGTACATTATATACACATATTTTTAATCTCTGGATAAAATGGTATCACTGAATATGCAATAACCTGTGATCTATGAAAGACACTTCAGATGTGGGACAGTGACAGGAAAGTGTGTATACGTTTTATTATACATGTGTCAGTTGTTGATTAGTAAAGATGATACGCTGTGAAATACGCTTCGTCGTGACGAGCGGATGCCTTGACCAAAAGACGACCTAGTCGAAAGAAAAGAAGCACGGTGTTTTCGATTCACATCGACAAATACTCCTCTAATACTTACATGATGGCTGTCGTGAGGCGATACATGATCACATCTCTCTGACTTCAGGTATCTATGAACATTTCTCACAGTTTCTAGTGATGCGTAGTTTCTACAACAAGTCTTTTAAAACCGGAATTCCCATTGTTACGTCACTCAGTACTCATTGACGAGCTATTTTTAGCGTCACGTCACCCCCCTCGCGAGATTTAAGTTAACCAATCAGAAGCTCATATCGGCTTCCTGTCTCCTGGCATAATCTGACAATTAGCCTTAGAAAGTATATAATTTTAATTCACAAAAGCAACTGCATAAATCAACTGGAAATAAGCCGCAGGGAGATTGGTAAATTCGAGCTGGTCCTAACGGAAATATAGACTTTATTTGGAGCCTTTTGTATAACAGAAACGGCAGGGTAGAAGGTAGACTAATAACTAGTCTCTGAAATGAACATATTTTACAGAAAAAACAGTTCATAATAAACAATGAAACTGTGGATATCTAGACTTGCCACATAATCTAGACTAGCATGGGCTTTCTTGGATATGTTTGTTTCAGGGTCTGTATGACAGACAAGGTGGAAGGAGAAATAATACAGCTCAGCGACAGAGCTATCCTGGCCAGAACTCTAGTTTCCCTTTCGTGATTGTTTAGTGGTGTTGTTTCCGCTTTTTATACCGTGTATCTATAAAAATAGTATTTCTGTTCTGTTTCTGGGAGGTTTATTTGGTAGTGAGCGTTGCCATGGCTCTCAGTGCAAACAAAGATAGATCAATAACACTACTGTATATAAACACATCCGCCTTGTTCTCACTGTCTTGCTGTTCAGTTCATTGTTTCATGACAAAAATTTCCAACGACCAAATCTGGGTAGAAATTGGGTACCCGAAGTAGCATGAAAAGTCGTAATTCATTTTCCTGCTGTTACATTTCTCCTTATTAATCTGAAATTCCAGGTACGGTGTATGCAACAAAAAAAAGATGTCACTAAATGATTATTCCCTGCCTAACCCCAATAGCAATTTAACACAGAGTCTTTTTATGAATATGGAATAAACGATTCTGTCATCCCTCATATTTTATGATTGAAGAAAGCATATATGCTGCTATTTTGGCTCATACTTTCGGTACTGTGACTTTATATTATGTATTAGACTAACATCTAGTCTCTGAAATGAACATATTTTACAGAAAAAGAAATCACAGAAATATCTATAAAATATAATGAAAAGGAGCCCTGAGGTTTTCTTGTCTTCATTTTCATAAACTGTGGTAATCTAACGTAACAAATGTCATATTTGGGATTACACTTTCCTAGTAAAGTACAGATTCTAGCTCTTTTGTTTGGTTGAGTCCCATCCGTGATTCGAACCCACACCCTCAGAGTCAGGCACCTAATCGCCTAATCCCAAATATGACAAATGTTACATCTGACCACTTTCTAAATGGCATTGTGTATTTCATGTGGTAATATAGACTTGCCACAAATTCTAGACTTGAAAGAGCATTCTTGGATATATTTGTTTCAGGGTCTGTGTGACAGACTAATAATGTATCAGAAGCTCGCGATGTTGATCACTGGACTGTCTGGTTGAGACTGGTTATTTTACAGACCGCAGCCATATAGAAGGAATATTGTAGAGTGCGGCGTAAAACAACAAGAAACAAAAATACAAGGCTTCCGACTTTCAGTCACACGTGAACAATGACTTGACGAAACGGGTCCGGGTAGTTTATTCAGGATCCGGGTAGTGAACATTGTTTACCTGACCCTTGTACTCTGGTAGCCAGCCCTACAACTAGCTAGCCATAGATGTCTATTCAAGATAAATCTTATACCCATTGACGTGTTTAACATTTCGCTTGCCTCCCAGGGCTTGTGAAGGGTAGTATACTTTGTCAGCGTTGCGTGAACAAAGAACATATATTTCCATGAGTTGGTTGACTTACACTTATAACACTGAGGGTATGATTACATTGGCGGTAAACACAATCTGGACTCCAGTGTTTGTGGTCAATGTGACAATAGATGATGAATGAGTTATACTTTCATTGGAGGAGTGAGTCACCAGTCTGCCAGTACATACATAAAGACGTAATGAAAGCAAAGCGGCAGTCAGTATTTACACACACCCATACCAAGACGGGCGCGCTTGTCAGTTTTCTGGAGACTGTTTAAACAAAGAAAATATACTCACTCTGAGACTGTTTAAACAAAGAAGATATACTCAGCCTGGTATATCAGCGCGCAGGTTACTTACGGTAGCTCCACGGTCAAGGTGACATTCCCAATCCAGATCGGGCACGCTGGGTAGATGGGGTAATGATATCCTGTCACAACTTTGCGCAACTGCAGTGGTTGTGCACGGACAAATCTGCTCAAGTGGAGTCAACGCATGTATCGTTAGGGACGACTGGGTAGTCGCTGATTGCCGTCGTGTTCCACGAAGTTATCAGTGGATCAATGATCCAGGCGTGAACCACCAGATGCTTAACTATTTA